CTTCTTTGTCTTCCATGAGATCATAGAGTGGCCAAGGAAGATACAGTAACCTGTGACTGATCTCCTTGTATCTTTGCAACAAGCCCAATCTGCATCACTGTAGGAAGAGAGGTGAAAAGATCCTGCTGTGGGGAATAATAATCCATGAGATGAAGTGCCTTTGAGATATTTGAGAATGTGTAGAAAGCTGCTGCCCAATGTGAGGTGTCAGGAGCATTCACAAATTGGCTGAGCTGTTGAACTCCATAGGTGATGTCAGGTCTAGTGAGATTAAGATAGAGAAGTCTGCCAATAACTCTCCTGTATAATTCTGGTTGTTCCAAGGGTGTGCCATCTTCACTCTTTAGTCTGATTCCACAAGGTAAAGGTGTCTTAACTTTAGCACAATCCAGCATGTTCATGTCCCCCAACATGTCAAGGATATACTTTCTTTGGCAAAGAGTGGTTCCCTCATTGCTTCTGAGTATCTCCACTCCCAGAAAATATTTAGCTGCCCCAAGGTCTTTGATGGTAAACTCTTTGTCAAGAAAGCCCTTTAATTCTGCCACCATTTGTTCATCATTGCTGGTTAATAACACATCATCCACATAAACTAGAATTGCCATGAAACTTGCCCCTCCGCTCAAGGTGAATAAGCAGTGATCATATGGTGACTGAATGAGCCCAAAATTAGAGAGTTTTTGAGTAAGTTTCTTGTTTCATTCCCTAGATGCCTGCTTAAGGCCATAGAGGCTCTTTTTGAGTTTGCAAACTTCACCAGCTTTGGCCTTGAAATAGCCTTGTGGAGGTACCATATAGACTTCTTCACTGAGGGTCCCATGGAGGAATGCATTATTGACATCCACTTGGTGTAGTGCCCATTGATTCATTGTGGCAATGGCTATAAACAGTCTCACAGTGACTAACTTTGCCACTGGTGAGAAGATGTCAAAGAAATCCACACCTTCTTGTTGGTTATAGCCCTTTGCTACCAACCTTGCTTTGAACCTTTCAACTGAGCCCTCACTGTTTCTTTTGATTTTATAAACCCACTTGGAACCTATGGCTTTCTTCCCTTTAGGTAAATGTGTGAGTTCCCAGGTGCCATTAAGTTCCAGTGCCTTGAGCTCTTTTTCCATAGCTTCAACCCATGCTGGATGTGTTTTTGCTTGCCCATAATAGATTGGTTCTTTGTCCAGAGAGACATTGGCCAGAAAATGATGTGTATCATCTAGAGTATACAATGAAGAGGCTGTGTGATTATCACAAATGTAGTCTGACTTCCATGTAGGTGGTTTTCTGACCCTTGTTCCTCTTCTAACATGATCATTTTCAGTGGCTTGAATAGGATCCTCAATCCTTTGTATGGTGTCTTGGATAGAACTCCCACCCTTTTGCAAAAGATCAGTTGTATCATCATCATGTGACTCATCATCACTGCATTCTTCTGTGTGGTGTATGGCTGTGGGCTGCAAATTTTCAGTTGTGGGCATAGTAGATTGAAAGGGAAATGTGTTTTCCAGGAATATCACATCCCTTGCCACAAATAAGTCATTTGTATCCAAGTTGTATAGCTGAAATCCCTTCTTACCTGCTACATAACCCAAAAATATGCATTTGTGACTTCTGCTATCAAACTTAGCTTTACTAGGATGCACATTGGCAGCATAGGCAAGGCAGCCAAAAGGTTTCACTTTCTCATAATATGGCACAACATGATACATCCTCTCATAAGGAGTTTCCCAGTTCAACAATGAAGATGGCACCCTATTTATTATATAAGCTGCTGTGAGTACTGCAAAAGGCCAGAATTTGAGAGGCAAATTTGCTTGAAATAGTATTGACCTTCCAACATTCAACAGATGCCTGTGTTTCCTCTCAACAACCCCATTTTGTTGTGGGGAATAAACACAGGTTGTCTCATGCAGTATTCCCTTGGTTTTGAAAAACTCATGCAGCTCTTTGTCATAGAACTCCTTTCATTATCAGATCTAACTCTTTTCACCTTCAAATCAAACTGAGTTTTGGCCATAACAATGAATTCCCTTATTAATTTCCCAGCCTGTGATTTATGTTTCAGCAGAAAGACCAAAGTCCCCCTACTATAGTCATCCACCACTGTTAAGAAAAAGGGGGTGTCTGTCATAGACTCTTCTTTACAAGGCCCCCATAAATCTATGTGAATGAGCTCAAAGCAGTTCTTAGTTTGAATTTGACTTCTAGTAAAAGGTTGTCTATGTTGTTTGGCTTTGTAGCAAGTGTCACAAGAGTCCAACAGCCTTTTATTGTCTTCAGTACAATCCTTCTGAAGAAAGCTTAAATGTTTCAAAGTAGAGAAAGAAGCATGCCCCAAACTCTTATGCCAATCAATGAATGACAGGTTGCAATCAACTTTCTGTTTCCTTTTATTATAGACATACAGACTTCTTGTGAGTTTTCCATATCCACAAATTTGATGTGACCTTTGATCCTCCAAATAACATTCTGATCCTGAGAACATCCATCTTAATGCATTCTTTTCACACAATTGCATTACTGACAACAAGTTATATTTGAAGGTTGGCACAAAAAGCACATCATGCTAGGTGATGTTCTCATCCAGTATCACATCTCCCTTGTACAACACCTTCTTTGATGTTCCATCTGCGAGACATACCACCACTAGTGTTTGAAGCTTGCTAACATTCTTCATACATTCTTCCCTTTTGCAAATATGCCTGCTTGCACCTGTATCAATGATCCATTCATCTTGGCAGCCATTACTCAAAGTTGATAAAGCAAAATGCATGGTGTTCTTATTTTCTTTGCCCTCAAAACTTACAAACTGTGCATAATCCACCTTTCCTTCAGGTTCCTCTCTACTTTTGATATATTTGGTTATCTCCTGGAGCTGCTGAATCACTGAGCTTATATCTTGAGAGCCAATTTGACCTCTCATTTCGGCAGTATTTCCTTGACCACTTACAAGAGGAGCTGTCTCAGCTGCATTTACATAACTCTTCCATTGTTGTCCTTTCATATCTATGTACCAGTCTGGTATACCATGGATTTTGAAACCGGTGCTTGTGTTATGCCCTCTCATACCACACTTTTCACATATGAGTCTGGCTTTCTCTTCTCTGCTCAGTCTTTGAAATCCTTTACCTCTGCCTGCAGAATCCCATCCTTTTCCCTCAGTTGCTACTCTGGCTTGCCCAAATGAGTTTCCTCTACCAAATCCTATCTTAGCTACCATTGCTGCATTGTCTATCTTGCTACCATACTCAGTTTGAATGTTCCTTTGCCTCTCAGCTGCGAGGAGCATAGAATAGGCTTTATTTACTGTTGGTAGAGGATCAATGAGCATGATCTGATTTCTCACATTGTCATAGACATCACTTAGCCCCATCAAGAACTGGATTAACTTTGTTTCTGCATCTTGTTGCAGTACACCTTTTCCCTTTTCACAATCACATACCTACAAAGGAGCTATACACGCATATTCATCCCAAAGCTTTTTCATCTTATTGAAATACTCCATAACTGTGTTGTTTCCTTGGCTCAGAGTGGAGATTTCTCTCTGAACCTTGTATTTCATAGGTCCATTATTCTCTCCAAAGCACTGACATATATCATCCCACAATTCTTTCGCGGTTTCAGCATACAAAAAAGATTCTGAAATTTCTTTCGATAACGAGTTAATGATCCAGGATAACACCATCCAATCTACCTTTTTCCAATCAGCATAATCATCATCATCAACATCCGACATTTTTATGTCACCATTTATGAATCCGAGCTTGGTTTTAGCTCCCAAAGCAATCATCCTCAATCGTTTCCAAGGCAAAAAAATTGCTACCAGTAAGGAGATTTGTTACGATCAACATACCAGGGTTATCGGAACCATGAAGTGAATAAGGATCCTGCCTTGATTTCGATGTGTTGTCTCGCGGCGCCATTGTTGTGAGCTGAGATCAAAACTTGCTGAATTTGTTGAGGACCCATCGCGTTTTGAAGAAAAATCGTATACATTTAAAGAAGTGAAGAAAAATACGAGTAAATCGATTGAATCTAGATGCGGAAGAAGATAAACAGGCTCGCCTGCTCTGGTACCATGTGAAATTTCATCTTAATAGAAGAAAAACGAGAGAGAAATTTTTGAGGAATCATATTTTTCATTTCAGGGTAATTATCCGTACATGCAAAGAAGATGAAGCTCGTACAGTATTTATTGTGTTCATGCAATAGAAAACGTCATCGTTTTGTCTCTTAAAGGGAAAAACCTAAAACGACGACGCACCCGCTAGAGATAAAAGAAAACACACAAACTTAAAGAGTTGCTAATATAAAAACAACATCACAAAGCATAAAATTTGGCCATGTCAGCATCCGAAGCGTAGGAATCTGACACCTAGGTTCAACATGTTTTGAATTAATATATAGGGAAGATAATATAAAAACAAGATCACAAAGCATAAATTTTCACAATGTCAGCATCCAAAGCGTAAAAATCTGTCACTAAGCTCAACACGTTTGAATTAATAGATAAGGAGTGATTTATTTACGCTTTCTCACATGCGTGTTTAAAGCACTTGTAGCTTTCCAACACAACTTCCTTACAGACTGGTGCAAATATGGTGCTTTTCCATGTATCCACCATTCTTCACAAATAATAATAATAATAAATCCAGACTCAACATAGGATAGGATGATCAAACAAGAATATTCAATATTATATTAGAAGCAAGTAACGAAACATTTACATCCTCAGTAGTTACTAATCAGAAAACGAAAATGAAAAAAACAAAAGGTAAAAGAAAAAAAGAAAAAGAAAAAACCATGGAAAACTAAATCAATTACTTTCCCCTAGAGACTCGATGAATCAAGCCACGGACACGCTCGCGAACCGGCTCGGCGTGGGTCGGAAATTCCGCCACCGCCCGCTCAGCTTCTGGCACGGCGGCGTCAGCGCCCTCCGGACAATCTCCTTGCAGGCCGGTTGCCTCCTCCGCAACCTACTTTCCGGCGCCGCTAACTCATATCGACACAGGTAGCGCACCGATCTAGACCTCGGCGGCGCCGGGTGAGAGCTCCGGTGGGCTCCGCTCCCGTAGGCAGAGGACGGCGGCCTCGACGGCGGCGGAAGCTTATTGCCGCCTTTTGGATCCATAAAGAATTGATGCTAGGGATTTGATTTGAAAAGTAATTGTGGTTTTTAGATTTGGGGTTTTTATGAAGATTATATGTTTGGGACTTTGGATTTATATATTGTAAGTGAGAAAAGAGTCTGTAGAATTCAAAACTCTGTGGTTTAGGCAAAAATTGAATTGACTCGTGAGGACACGGTTTTTGAATACCTTGTCAAATACTCTAACTACTTTTTATTTTTATTTTTATAATTTATAAGAGATTGATCAAGGAAATTTCTCATCATACACTTAATTAATAATAGGAAATGATTTAAATTAGAGAAAATTTTTATTATTTATTTATTACTAAGTCACTCACTATTGAAGAATCGTATAATTGAAGAGTCAAAGTTTGATTCGGCTTGTCAAGACTTAAAAAAAAAAAATACAAGTTTTTATATATGTCAATACTCGATATTGTTTATCGACAAATTAAATGAACTAAACGATAGCTCTAATCCTCACGTATACCATATTATAACCAGTTCATAATCTTAGCATTAGGAAAGAAGTTATAGGTGAACCTTTCTTTTACATATGATTGTATAATGTTCAAAAAAATGCTAAATGTTTAATTGTTAGGTAGCTTGTTAGTCATCCAATTGAAATAAGATAATTAAATCCTAAAATATTGTATTATTCACAACTACTTGATATAAATTATATTATAAAGTTATCACTAAAGGTTGAAGGTACAATACAAACAAGCAATATGCCATAAGAAAATTTTGATTCGAAATTCAAAACAGCATTTGTATAAGTCGAGTCAGGCAGTTGAATTTGACCACAATTAATTTAATTCTCTGACTTGTAAAATCATGGCCCACTGACCACAGACTAGTTAGTCAACTGGGCCTGTAGACAGTTATATTCAATAGATGTAGGAATCGGGCCAACTCATTTACAAAATATTACCTTTAGTTACTTGCGTTTTCAAATGTGGGCTGGCCCAACACCCAGACCTCAACTTTATCCCTAACATTACTAATCGCCCATTACAATTATGAACTACAATTAAGGCCCAAGTATAAATAGACCCTCAACATAAATGAATGAACCCACTCGCGAGCTCGGCAGCTCATCTTGTCAAAGCTTGAAAGTAAGTAGTTTTATATAATTTTTTGTAGTTCGAATTGTTAAAGCTCGAGTTGAACTTGTTAATAATGGTAAAAGAGTCAAATTCAAACTCGATAACTGACTCGTTTAGTTAAAAATCTGAGTCGAACTTGTCTTATCTCTCATACACCCCTTGTTGTGAGGTAGTCTGTTAATGGTTAAGCTAGTCGGCTCATCATATTTTACAAATAAATATGTATTACTTATTAAAATATTATGAGTGACTAATAGTTAAACTCGTTTAGAATAGCCTTACCGTTCAAATTATAAGTGCATCTTTATCACCATCATCATCTATTTTTTCACAGTCCATGAATTGAAACATCAAATTAAAGTTGTTTTGTACACTTTACCTTAAAAGGGAAGATGATTAAAACCCTAATTAAATTTGTGTGGGTTTAAAAAGATAATGATTCCTTTTAATGACTAGTGAAATGGTCCCCAAAAGTCATCAAAAGAGAAAAATATGAAATAAAAAGCCATTTTGCAAAGTGTGCTATAGTGTGTAGGCATCTTGTTTGTTGTCAAATATTAAGTGCTAAGAGCTAATTTTTGTGGTGGTAAATTAATATACTTTGGGTAGAAAATGACATCCACGCACCGGAATATCTGTAAAATTTCATTTAATTTTTAATTTTTCTAGATTAAAATCAATAAAATTTTGGAAATGATAGCTGTCATAATTAGGACAAATATTTAAGATAAGGGGCTATTTAATTTTTTTTTTTTTCTATTTTCTAATTTTTTTTCCTTATATTCCTGAATAATGCTTTCTTCAGAATTTTACCTTGTCCATCTTACTTTTTAATGTCCCTAATAGAATTTATATATATATATAAAAAAAAGATGGCATGTGAATACTTAAAAATAAGATATTTGAGGTGGATACTTTTATTGAGAAGATGCATATTATAAGCTTTTTAGGTAATGAAAATTGGAAAATTATTATTGCATTTGATTTTCTTTTATAAGACATTTATATTAAATGTTCTTTTATTAGGTGTGGGTATACTTAATTAATTGGAGTGTTTTTCCTTGGTTAATTTATAATAATTATTGCTGACCAGAAAATTTGTTTGCTGTCAATTTTTGAGATATTTAAGTTAAAACTAAATTATAAATTCAAGATACATTGATAGACTATACAACTAATTAATTGCATGCGTATGCTGTGACTGTCACACTAACAGAAAATTTGTTAAAAAGGTTAGATTTACGTTAATAGTGTGATCAGAAAAATAGACTATGCACTCAACATGTGATCAATAGACTTTGCGGCTGACTGCTTGGGGTCTCTCGGCCATTGTGGTTCTAGTGGTTGTTTTCGCTTTTCTAATCCATCGTTGGAAGTCAAACCGTGGTTACAGCATGACCTTATTGGTGTTGCGTACCCACGACTAATAACTGTCTAAACGGTTCTAGGCTTTAGCCTCCATCTTTTGTACCAAAAAAAAAAAAATACAATCCCATGTTGTCCAAATAATAATAATAATAAAAAATTGTAGACTTTTGTTTATTAAAAAAAAAATAAAATTAAATGAAGAAATAGTGATGTATCTTTTGATTAGGGTTTGATGAACCCATGCCTCGTGACCATTTTTTTTTTCTTTTTTCTATCAGATATTTTTGCTAAAAGTATGCTACAAAAAATATAAAATTCAAGAAACTTTACACTGCACAAAACCACTTTTTTCCTTTTTCATTTGCACATAGAATTTTATAGAGGTTTCAACTCTACCCAATTTCACATATATTATGCCATAACATTGCCATGATATATACTACAAAGTCTACAATTTATTGCATTTCATATGATAACTATTTTTTTTTTTTAACAATATTTTTTCCCACATGATAATGGCAACTACAAACAAGATATATCACAATATTTATTTATTTATTTATTTTTTACCTATACCTTTTTCATATACAATGAGCTAAGGTACATAGTGTATGAAACCTTAATTACATACATATATAACACCAAATTAAAAAAAAAAAAGGGTTAATATATAAGTATATACTCCCTCATCTATCCTAAAACCACCCTTATATCTACTTATACTTTCAAGGGATATATAGATACATCACCTCATAGAATTCTTGTATATAAATATTCTTCCTATAGCATCAAAATCTCACATATTATCACATTGCATCAACTTACCCGGCCCTTTAAAAATAGCTATAATTTTTCCTATCTTTTAAAATAGCATACCATCTCATATTCCAAAACATCATCATGGTCATATGCCAAGTCTACACTGGCCGCACTGGCCAGTGCACGCTTGCCACGTGTATTCAGAATACTCGAAACACGAGATGGAACACCGATATCAATGCTTCTGATTAACACCAAAATCGATGTCAATTGTACCAATTCATGCCCGAAACCTGGTAAGGCTGGCGAAAAACCCCGTCCCCAATATTATTCTCGATCACCACCTGCGACTGAGCAGGCAGTTGACTCAAAATGTTGTTGACCATCGAATTATTCGAGCCCCCCTCGCAGTTCTCCGAGATGAACCTCTTCGTCTGCTGGGGGGCGGAATTTACGTTTTCATCCCCACCCCAATACAAATTCTGCATCGTCCGCTTGCCGGACAAGACTGTGGGGTCTGCGGTCATGAAGGGGAATTGTAGCGACGACTGTGTTGGTGCCTTCGAGCCGGACGAGCACATCATCCCTTGTTGGTCGTAAAAATCGTGCTCGGTTTCTAGAAAGGAGCCGTAGTTTGACGGAGGCTTGAGCGCATGGATCGACCCGAGACCCAACTCGTTCGTCGGATCCCTCTCGTGATCCAACGGCCTCTGAGCCGTGTTGTTCTTCTTGTATATTCGGCACAAGACCCAATCATCAAGCTAGACCAAAATAATAACACCAATATATATAAATAACATTAATATTGAAACTCGTTGCTTATATCAGCCTAATTGTAAACGAGCTGAGCTGAACTCGAGCTCAAACTCGTTGACTAATCAAGTCGATCTACGAGTCAGAGCTTCGTTCCTTTTATCATATTTAATGAGTCGAGATGAGGTAATAAGCTGATAAAGAATAAAAAAAGTGGAATGCATAATAGATTGACAATTTTACCCTTAGAGAGCCCTTCTTGGCGACATCGTAGCCCGGTGGCTTATTGTTTTGGGCCTTGCCGTCGGCCAGCCGATACTCGTGCATGATCCAATTAGTTTTGATGCCTTTGGGCGGCTTTCCACCGTAGAAAACGAGGGCCTTCTTAACGCCGACCTTTTGGGTCCCACCGGCAGTCAAGACGGGCTTGTCGGTGCCCGTTGCCTTCCAGTAGCCCGATGTCGCGGCCCGATTGGGCCGGGCCCCGTTCGGGTACTTCCGGTCTCTTGGGCTGAAGAAGTACCATTCCTGCTCTCCAAATATAGCCTTTGCTGCCAAAATTAAAAAAAAAAAAAAAAAAAGGAGATATCAAGTATACAATAAATAAAAAATAAAAGCTTTGTAAAAAACAAAATTATATATAATTTGATTGCCGATAATTTAAGTAACTACGGATAAGTCCCGATATTGAAAGTTCGACTATTTTGTTTATTCTGAAGTATGAAACTAAAAAAAAATGATTAGTAAAATATAAAATTATATATATAATTTGATTGCCAATAAATTAAAGTAATTACGGATAAGTCGGTAATCGATTAAAGTTCCACTATTTTGTTTATTTGAAGTATGAAATTAAAAAAAAAAATGTGATTCGTAATAAATTTTAAATTATATATAATTTGATGTTTTTATAACTACGGATAAATCGGTCACCGATTTTAAAAGTTATGACTTATGAGTACTATTTTGTTTATTTTAAAATGATTGATAAATGATAAAATCATATATGTAATTTTTTTTTTGGTACAGGGGACCTTCCGGTTTCCGGATCCACAGGGGAACCGACTAATCCGGAATCGAGCCGGGTAGGATCACAAGGGTGGCAAAGCTCTCCCTCAAGAGTTTTAACACTGCTGCATTCCCAGTACTCGAACTCGAGACCACTGGTTAAGCTGGAAGAGTCAAGAGACCCAAACCATCTCATTCAAGTGCTCTTGTGATATATATGTAATTTGATTTATGACAAATTTAAATAACTACGGATAAATCGGTAACCGATTATAAAAGTTCCACTATTTCATTTATTTTACAGCATGGAATCGAGATAAAAAAATGATTAGTAAAAAATAAATATATACTTTGATTGTCAAAAAACTTAAAAAACCACGAATAAGCCGGTATCCAATTTTAAAAGTTCCACTCCTTTTGTTTATTTGAAGTATAACACACACACACACACAAAAAATAAATAAATAAATAAATAAATATTAGTAATAACAACTAAAAAGTTAAAGTCTGTACATGTATATTTATGCACATATATTTTGATAAATAACAACAACAACGATGATGATAATAATAATAATAATAATAATAATAATAATAATAATAATAATAATAATAATAATAATAATAATAATAATAATAATAATAATAGTAGGTATCAAATTTTGAACATTGGACCTTTTTATTTGTTCTATTCACCAAAAAAAAAAGTATAGCTAATATTAAACTGAATAAAATCAAATCAGAGGAATATTATTATTATTATTATTATTATTATTATTATTATTATTACCGGGAAGTTCCCATGGATCGAATTTGTAGAGATCGACCTCGGCTATGATGGCCACCGGAAGAGGTGCGGCGGCCGCCTTCTTCTTGAGGTAATGAACGACGAGCTCCTCGTCCGTCGGGTGGAATCGGAATCCCGGCGGCAGATGGGGTTTCGGAGACTCCGCCGACGAGTCTGTACTTTCCATAATTTCCTTCTTTTATTTGCAATATTTTCTATAAATAATTTTATTTATTAAGTAATTGTGTTGACTGATGAAGCTTTTTAATTTGGATTTTGGAGATTTTATTGGAGAAAGAAGAAGAAGAGAGCATTGAAAGTAGAATACCAACAGCCACCAAAATGAGTTATGAAATGTTTTTTGGTTGGTGTAATTGGCAATGAGCTTAGCCTATCTTTTTTTTATATACTCTACGAATTAACCCAATAAATAAATATGGACAAATATTTATTCATTTTCGTATTTGTATTCGTATTGTATAGTATTGATATTAACTATATTTATTTTTTGTTTATTGTTTATTTATCTCCAAATTTATTAAAATATAAAGGTTTATTCGTTAAATTAATATTTTCTTTTTTCTTATTTGACTATGTATTGGAAATACGAGTTGATCAACGTTTGCAAATAAATTCGTTCGTTTTTTAATTGAATTGATCCGAACAAAAATATTATGCTTGTTTCTCGGTTAAGCAAACACGTACACAAGCTTGTTTGTGAATGTTCGAAAATATTGTTTGGGATGTTAATTTTACAGATGGTTTGTTTATTTTTACATTCTTATATATGTACATTAATATTTTTGTAAAAATTATAATGTACCCATAAACGCACTCATATATATGTTTTTGTGTATATATACATATATGTTTGTATTTTCAAAATTTTTAATATACTATTTCGAACAAATCAAACCCGACCTAAACAAATAATTTTAGCAATCTGGCTAGCTAAATTATTTGATTCAAATGAATCCAAAAATTGACAACAAGGAAATGAATACATACAAGCATAAATTTTTGTTCATATAATAAACGAAATCACTCAAACAATTTTGGACATAATCAAATATGAGCTCGAAGTGCTCAAACTCAAAATTGATCCTTTCCATCATGACACTATACATACATTGTCCGTCCCGTACATTAATACATACCTATGGATGTATCAACAACTGAGTTGGGTCGAGTTAAGTTCGAACTCTTAATACTCTAGCCAAGTTTGTAAACAAGCTCGAATTTGCCTATTTTTTCGAACTCTTAAGTTAAGAGTTCACAAAATCTTATAAAAGTCTATTTTTTTTTACTGAAAAGCTAATTGAGCTTGTCATATTGCCTTAACGAGCTCGAACTCGATTTGCTAATCAAAATGACCAAATCAACTTGAGGCCCAAGTTCCAACGCTTTGTACCAAACTGAACTCACGAGTCCTCTCAACTCATTCAGTTTATATGAAATTTTTATGGGCCTGGGGCAGAAATGTAATTCAGCACCAAAGCAACTCCACGGCGGCACGGCCAGAACAACGAGGCAAATAGTGGGAGCAGAGGCTTACCGTGGGTTCGCGAAGGAGGGGATCAGCGCCGAGTTGATGACGCTATTAGGATCGGGTGAACCAGAAAATTAGGCGATTAATGAACCGACACGCGCGTGATTGTTGAGCGAATGAGGAGGTGACACGTGGTGGAGGATTGTGCGGTGGGGACCACATATCTACATAGAAGTAAAAGGGGATTTGATGGCAGGAAGATAAGTATTGGGTGAAAATGTATACATCAAAACTAACTGCAATTTGGTTATTACATTACATATGACTAAAATGTCTATAATTTTTTCTTTAAAAGTTATGTTTCTGATTTACGTATTACTCTCTTACAGAAATAAAATAAATGTAAATACACTTATATGAGGTTTCAAATATTATAGGTGAAAAAAAAAATATACATGTTATTTGATTCATATTGGGGGAAAAAAAAGTTAATTGCATATTATATTTTTTTGTATGGTAAAATAGTGTAGTATGTGTGGTTTGTGAATATAAAAAAGAAGGCTTAATGAGAAGGAAGAAAACGAAACAAAAATCAAAGTCGAGGCACGTAATAATTACGTTCTCCTTAAGACGAAATTGCCCCGTAAAATCTATACTTACTGTTAACGGTAAACGCCTCCAAGATACAACGACTTTCGACTTGTATATAGTGGTACTTTAAATATATAAGCCTTCGGCGAACACTATTATTGTTTGGAATTTTCAAGACTCAATGAATAAATCATAGACCACAATATGCTATATGATCTTTGAAGATATTGCAAGAGCTCTCTAATTTTATTATCTTTAGAATGATTTCATGTAAGTGTGTATTTATAGATGTAGGGAAACACCTCCAAGAGGTTTAAGTGTAAAAAAAACATATTTTTGGGACGTGTCCGAACGAGAACGGATGCATCAAGTGGCCAAAAGATACCTTATGGTTATTATGGGTTGCGACCCTTTAATTTTTGCAGCCAGTTGCGCGCCCGCGCGCCGCGGGCTCGTACGAGCCCATACGGACTCGAAATCGAGTTTCTTTTTTCCTACTTGTACCCAACGAGCCCTTCTACAATTCTAGCATATATAATGCATAATTATGACTCGTCTAGTTTGTCCAAACATTTATCAAAACATAATGTTTTACGAATCCAATAATTTGAGTTACTTAAACTCATTGTTTCAACTTTACATTTCTCACATATACAACTTAGAATTAATTTCTCATTCACCTTAAAATGGTTTTGAAAATTTCATAAGTCTTCCACTTACAAAAAAATAGAACCGTAAAATCAGTACAAAACTAATTTTTCTTGCAAATATATTATCATACTATGTGAATAAAAGTGTTATTTGAGTCGAGTCGAGCCGATCACGTACCTTCCATTTTAGACTCGTGCTTGTTTAATAAATTACACAACGACTATGTTCCTAAAAGTTTGACTCGACTCGCTTAACAATTATGTGATTATAAACGATTGATTTGCAAACATAACATGTATGTCTGTAAAGTCATTCTCATTTATTTTGTAAATAATATAAAAATTACTGTTTGATAATAAGCTCGGTTCAACTCATTATTAATAAACAAGCTCGATTAGCTATTCGAGCTTGACACGTTCAAATAAATGATCAAGTCAAACTCGAACTTTCACGAGTTGTATCTAATATAAAAATTAGATTGAAACTAAAGAACTTTTAAATAGTTCTCTATTAGTATGCAAAAACTGGTACGTGACCTAATTTAATACTCCATATATGTCATCCCTACTGGAGATTGTAATCGGATTTCGCCATCAAACGCACAAATTAAAAACAATTAAAGCAAATAGATTTTGCACTACAAAATAATTATTATATTCCAATAGAAAATCATATGTTAACATATTCCAACGAGAATTCAACGGACGTTTCAATGTTATAGATTCCGTTTAAATGATTATAATGAAAATATACTATTTGAATAAATACCATATTCCAATAGAAAATCTACGTTGATATATTCCAATGAAAACTTTCAGCGGATATTCTAATATTATTATAACTTCCGCTGGAATGATTTCAATAAAATATTCCATTTGAATAATTTTCATTGGAATTTTAAATAGAATTTAATGATTTTTATAGCTATTTTTCAACCATTTTTTACCGCATGAATTTTCGTTGTAATATGCAATTTTCTTTATATTTTTATTTTCAACCATTGGAATTGTCATAATACAATAGAAATTTCAATGAAAGCTCATTCAAGCATAATATTTTTGTTAGAATGTATTAGCATTTGTAATTTATTGCTGATCTTAAGCTACAATATATCTTCTTGTTGAGCTAAAATTTAGAAGTATAAAATTGTTTAAATTCAAATTGTCAACCCTATATAAACTTGTATATTAATTAGGGACATATGATAATCAATAAGTTTGATCTATTAAAATGTTAATGAAATGACGATTTATGACTGTTGCCCTACACCGTTTAAGTTGGTTTTTCTGCTTTCGAACAAAAAGTCAATAAAGTCACCAATACTTGCAACAAAGTGCTACCATTTTGTTTTCTTCAAATTAATTTCATTTATTATATATCAGTGCATGCATGTTTTTTGAATTTTTGGGTTCATTGTGCTTTTACAAGACAAAGGAACTAAATTCACCATATTGTGTCCTCATTTAAAAAATGTGCTGTCAACAATATATAATAATTCCTCTAAATCATATGTACGAGCAGTGTGAGGTGTAAACTAGTCGAATCGAGCTGCTACTCAAGTTTTTGATTCTTGTGATCAGACTTGATCCTTGATTCTCCCGAGGTAAAAAACGAGTTCAAGCTTGCCTTATTTATCAATATTAAGAAGACTAACTAGAGCCTAAATAAGTTAATTTATAAAAAATTACGTTCAACTGTTTAAATGAACACGAATTTAATTGGTTTATTAAACGAACACAGCCAAGTCAATGCCAAGTTCATGAACAACTGGTTTCCTTCACCATTTGATACTCTACGCATCATAATTACGTACGCTTACTTTAGTGTATGTCTTTAAAATGATTTTAAATAAAAATTTATTTCATTAATTTATTTAAGTTTTTTATTCATTATGTCGTTGGGAATAAAATGATTTGCACGTGTGGGTTGTCAAATGCTAATTTAAAATCGGTCAAAGTAACTTTTTTTATTAGAAAAAAATAAATAAATAAAAACTACAAAGTAAAAGTTTAGTGAGCCCCAATGCTGATTTCATGTATATGGGCTGAAGTCCCGGTAAGGGTCAATTCAAGCGGTCCATTTTAATTTTGTCATCTCTCTCTCTCACACACACACACACTTAATATTAAGTACAATTAATTAATCCAGATTATGAATAATGGTGGACAAAACCTTCAAAATTAGAAGTTTGATTGGATTAAGACAATCACAATACCCTGATTTTGAGGGTAACAGTTACTTGTCTTAGTGTCGATATGTGACTTAGGGCATCTCCAATGGTAATAGCTATTACTAGCTATATGGTTAGCTGACGTGGATGTGAGAGATAAGAAAAATAACTATTTTACACTATTGGACCCACGTACTCCTCTCACATGATCTTGGGCTACGTGAAATAGATAAGCTATTTGTTAGTAGCTAGTGACTACTCTCTCTCTTACTTTTCCCCTGTCCAC